TTTTTTTTGGGGGGGAAGGATGTTATGCTTGGTTGTAACTTTTTTTAACGTAAATTTTTTTATACTTAACTTTAACTTAACTTTTTTTTCATCACATAGGGGACACAAAGTCCCCTATATGATGATTTTGTGGTGACAGATTCTCATTATTGAGACATTCAGGGTCTAAAAGACCCTGCATGTCTCCTCTGGGATCCATTAAATGTATTGCAATGCAAACCTCATTGCAATACATCTTTCACTGGCTTTTCTGGCACGGAAAGTGACAGCAAGTGACACCATGGACGTTGCCTTCCAGGTCACACAAAGAAAGGGAGGGGAGAAGACGCTTGTCCACTCTCCCCTCAACCTGCCAGCATCCACCATGGCACTCCCCAGGCCTACAGATGGGCAAGGTTACATGGCGGGAGCACGCCCACAGGAAGGGGGGCACTGGAACTGGGGGTGGTGGAAGCGATCAGCGGCAGCAGCAGAGCCGCCTGACTGCTTTCACCTGACAGGCAAGAGTCTGCCTGTCAGTGTTATGCATAATACCAAAGGCTGCAGCCACTGGATTGTGTATAAAACCCCCTGCTGTCAGGTCTGTACAGCGTAGAGCATGATTAAAATACAGAATTTGTGTATATAACCCAAATATGGTTAAGAATTCTGTTTGGTGGGAAGCAGCAATTTTAATAAAGCTGAAAGTGTAAAAAAAAATTCCTGTAAAGAACATGCCTGGGAGATGCCTTGACTCTGTCTGCGAAGTGGCACATCTGTGTGATGTATACAACATACTATAGCAAAACTGACATTTACAGAAAAGTGCATTTAAATTGCTGGCAAACTGACAGTTACTCTTTTGTAAACAAAAGAGTAGGGGGTCCCTCATTTATACCTGACCCTAATCCTAAATAGGGGTCTCATATAAATGTAATGGCAAACCCTCATACAAAAAGAAAGTCATGCCCCCACCCTCCCCCAATTCAGACCAGACCCTTCAGGTCCCATGTGAATAAAAACAAAAAACACCATGAGGCTCTTTTTAAATTCTTTACCAGACTCAGAACCAACACTCATTCACAAAAAAAAGTGTAAATAAAGACTGTTTTGACAAATCTTTTAACACGTTTGCTGCCACAACATAATAACTACATTGATAGCAGCAGGGGGGTTTACACACACTCCCTGCGGCTGCAGTGGTGGGGAGTGTTTGTATATCTGACAAGCCGGCTGTCAGATGGCTCTCCAGCTGCCCGATTGCTTCTATACACTTCCGGTAATGGCCATCCTCCTGTGCATGTCCCTGCAATGCTTCCCAGGATCTGTGCACCCATTGACATGCCCAGGACAGGCATGGTGGGTGCTGTTTAGTAGAGGTGAGAGAGCCAAGCACACGTCCATCTGCTCTCCTACCCTACTTCTTTCTGACCCAGAAAAAAAAGCATAAAAGCCCACTTCCACGACCTCATGTCACTACAGGCTGAGGAAGAATCTACAGATTCATTGGAGTACAGTCATTAAAGAGAACCTATCACAAGAAAATCATCACAAAAGGGACTTTTTCTCCAAGAGAGAAGGTTATCAGTCTCTTTGCTTCTCTGAGGTCTCACCCAATAGTGGTCAGCTATGGCAGGGATCTGTCCATCCAGCAGCAGCAGCAGCAGCTCATTCTCTGATCAACACTTTTCTTCTGGGCAATGCAGCATCAACTCCCACAAAAGCTCTGGCCACACACCATTGTTCCTCCTTAACTGATACCTTGTGGTGCTCTCTTTCAGCTGCTCAGCAAAGGGAAATTCTTACAGTGGCACATGGTGCCCACAGTGGCTCCCACCCTGCATTCTCCATGCTGAAGGCACAGCCCAGCTCCCTTTTTCATCAGCCCAGTTTACTGTCCCTTTAATCTGTAGCATCAGGCCCCTGCACTGGAGACATCCAGAGAGGATCATTGCAAAATGGTCTCTTTAAAGATGGCTGCTGCACTTTTGAATTAATGAATATTCAGTTTAACCCTGTCAACACTGCAGAAGGATAATAAAGCAACAACAAAGAAAGAAGTTCCATAGCAGGTAAAAGCTACCGTTCAGGTTACATTTGGAAGGGATAAAACATTGTTTATGATTTCAGTTTAATGCACTGAAATTGACTAAGAAATTCCTGTTCGGTAATATCAGTAGGTATGTTCTTCTTCTAAAAATCTAATATATATATATATATATATATATATATATATATTAGAACATGTTTGTTCTGCTTTGTTCACATGTTTTTAAAGTTAAAGCGTTATTAAACACAAACCAAAAGTATAATATACTGCAGCTTACCAATCATTTTATATGGTTCTGTCTTAGTTTTCTTTTTCCCTCTGTTTTCACCTGCTGATCTGGGCAGTAACACACCTTTTGTACTAGAGTGTCTACATTTTGGATGAATGAGCACAGGGGGCAGCATTGTCAGTCTGGGGGGAGGGTAGTGTTAGTTGTACTAGCATATTTAACTACAATAAACAAATTGAAAACAAACTCCAGCTCACACCTTATGAGGTACAGTAAACATTTTTTTTTCCTTTTGGGATAAAGGTTTTAAATAAATAGTTATAGCTGATCATTGTAAGCACTCCTCCTAGTATTACATGGTTTGTCTCACCTCTGTAACCAATACATTCTACTGGAGAGCTCGTTCTTTGGAGAAACAACAAGCTTACGGGCTGGATCACCAGATGAAAATGAAAGAATGATAATAAATGGTAAGCTGAAATATAATCAATGTTTTTCTTTTGGGTTTAATACCACTTTAATGAGGGAGTACAGACTGTTTTGGTGAGTGGGCTAACATTTGCATCATTAAAATTATGTTTGGTCATATTTCATTAACTTCAATAACTTAACATATTTTTATTGTTTTTTTAATTATGTCTATGGTTTTGCTCATTGTTTGATTTATGAAAATCTTTTTTTAATCATTTACTTTTTAAAAATATTTGTGACCACAGAAACAAATGAGGGTGAAATCTGCATGAAATAAACTGAACTCAGTCATTCTCTCACATGGTCACAGGAAATGCACCAATTATGTCCCTGAAACAACTCATATGTAAAGCCTGAAGATATTTAAATGTCATGAACATACTGTACACTATTAACGAAGCATGAAATGTTCAGTACTCTGTAAGTTAATTTTAAAGCAAAATGTACAGATTGTAAAGACAACTCAAAAATGTTCTTCTCTTTACTTAAAGAGACCCTGTTTCCCTCCCCTGTATTTTCAAAGTGAACTCTTATTTAGGTTCAGAAAAAATTTACATATACTTGTGCCCGCAATTGTTCTCTTTTCTGATTTTTTTTTTCTTTAGTTGCCAGTGGTGCCAGTTTAAAAGGAATCCGACCCTTCCAGGAGTGTAAGATCCTATTAGCTCTTCCTGACCTGGCTGACTGAGGAAGCCTCAGTGTGGATTAACACATGTGCAGTGCAAATTGAAGCTCTGTTTTCATAGCTAATTGGCAAAGTAATTGCTATTTGACAAAATAGTTGTTCAGCGGTTCAGGTCAGGTTTAGATCAGGTCAGGTTTAGATCAGGATCAGGTCAGGTTTAGATCAGGATCAGGTCAGGTTTACATCAGGATCAGATCAGGTTTACATCAGGATCAGATCAGGTTTATATCAGGATCAGGAGAGAAAACTGGCCCGAAATAGTGTTCACAAACTCATGACATGAGTGATTCAGAAGCAGTACCCACAGAAGTCAATCTTACAAGATACTTGAAAATTAGATGTATCCTTAACTCCTGGGTTCAAGGTTAAGGTTGTATTTAGTTTTCATTGTAAGACTGTATTTTTGAAATTACTAAATACATTTTGACCCCCGTACTCTGCCCTTCTGGCACCCTGTCCTCTTCTCTACTGACTTTTTACATTATTTGGATATTTGTGTTGATTAGTCCTTGGTTTAGGCCATGTTTTTTTTTGTTAGTTTCTATTTGATTAACTAATAATATTTTTGTTTTTGTTTGTTTTGTTTGTTAATATTTTTACATGTTTAACATTTATTTACAAATTTTGCATTTAAAAAAGGGCAAAATTGAAAAAAAACAACAACTTTATTTCATTTGTGAATAACTTTGCAATGCTTTGTACCACAATCACACATTTAGGTGTCATTTTAAACAGGAGAAATTACAGAATAAAATGTGCACATTCTATGTGCAGTAACACTATTTATTTTTGAACTAACACTGCTCAAAACAAGAAAAAGCAAATTTTGTTACCTTAAATTGTTTAAGGATTGTTAAAAAAAAAATTAATTGTTGGAAGACAATGTTCATGAAAAGAAAGGCTTGTTTGTACTTAAAAAAAAAATATATGTACTACGTTTTTATCTTAAGTAATGACAAAGGTATCACTGAATAAATAGGCCCATAGCAGAAATGTAAAAATTGCTCTGGTCCATAGGGGGCCAACAGGCGTGATAAGCAAAATGGTTAAGTAAATCAAACCCAATGATTTCGTGTTTTTCCATATTTAAGTTTCTATGCATTACTGTTAAGAGAACTGATCCAAAAAGTAGAGACTACTCCAAATTTTCTATTATATTTTTTACATTCCTTCAATACCGCATGCCTAGGCCACTACCTATTTAACCCCCTCCCGCCCACCATATAAGATAATGACGGGTGCAAGGCGGTTCTCTCATTCTGGGAGGACGTCAAATGACGTCCTCCCATTCTAACGCACATGCGCGGATCTGGGAGCGCGAAGCGCGGCGATTGATGGTGCGCTGTGTCTCTTGGATCTCTTGAATCACCGATCAACAGAAAGAGCCGAAGATGTCGGCTCGGTCATGTGATCAGCTGTGTCCAGTCACAGCTGATCGCATGTAAATAGGGAAATGTCTGTTATCGGCATTTCTCTCCTCATGAGCTGTCACGCTGACCACTCGAGAGGAGAGCAGAGCCGGTAATCGGCATCCCTCAGAGGAGACATGTACACTGATCATCAGGGCACTGATGATCAGTGTGTCCTGATGATCAGTGTAGCCCCAGCAGTGCCACCTGTCAGTGTCCATCAGTGCCAGCTGTCAGTGCTCATACATGCCACCTGCCAGTGCCACATCAATGCCACATATCAGTGCCTACCAGTGCACATCAATGCTACATATCAGTGCCCATCTGAGCTGCCTTTCAGTGTCACCTATCAGTGCCAGTCAGTGTCACCTATCAATGCCTGTCAGTGCCACCTATCAGTGCTGCTAATCAGTGCCACCTCTCAGTGCCAGTCAGTGCCGCCTATCAGTGCCAGTCAGTGCCACCTATCAGTGCTCATCAGTGCCGCCTATCAGTGCCCGTCAGTGCTGCCTATCAGTGCTGCCTATCAGTGCCAGTCAGTGCCACCTAACAGTGCCAGTTAGTGCCACCTATCAGTGCAAGTCAGTGCTGCTTATCAGTGCCACCTATCAGTGTCACTTATCAGTGCCATATATGAGTGTTGCCTTTCAGTGCCCATCAGTGATGCCTGTCAATGCCCTTCAGTGCCACCTACCAGTGCCTCCTCATCAGTGCTCATCAGTGCCACTTATCAGTGTCCATCAGTGCAGTCTATCAGTGCCCATCACTGCAGCCTCATTAGTGCACATCAGTGAAGGAAAAAAATCACTTATTTATAAAATTTTATAACAAAAACTAAGAAAAAACATTTTTTTTTTTCAAAATTTTCAGTGGTTTTTGGTTTGTTTAAGAAAAAATAAAAACCCAGAGGTGATGAAATACCGCCAAAATAAAGCTCTATCTGTCACAAAAAAATGATAAAAATTTCATATGGGTACAGTCTTGCATGACCGCGCAATTGTCATTCAAAGTGTGACAGCGCTTAAAACCTGAAAATTGGCCTGGGCAGGAAGGGGGTATAAGTGCCCTGCAGGCAAGTATTTAACACATACATTTAATTATTTATTTCCATTTGTGAACTAACTTTAACACCGTTTTATGGGGTATTTACTGAGCGTTTTTGGATTTTGAGGTAATACTGCAAAGGTATTTACCACAAATTGAATTGACATTTTTAACATTGCATGTGATATTTAGAAAAAATGTGTCAGATCACCTAAATACCACATGCAATATGCTTTGGTGAATGAAGCCCGGGGTCTCTTTCAAGTCCCATATTCCCTCCTCTGCAGTAAATTCCTATACATAAAGCCGTACCTTAGATTAAGAGTCTACCAACTTTACACTGCTAGTGGATGGTCATTCTACTACCCTCTATAGAATGTGCCAATCACAGAGTTGATAGAGGTATCATAAATCTTCTAAACTCTGCAAGTATAGTATGGAAATATATATGGGCTTTTACTAAGCAGGACAAGGGAAGGCATAGAAGGCTGATTATTATAAAAAAGTACACTTATAGACTTGACTTTTTTCCTGAGTTACAGGCAGTTTACTGGAGCCTCTCAAGCATATTGCTCTTACATATTGATCATCAGAGCAGAAAACATTTACCATATTTCTTTTTTTAAACCTTTCATTTACTTGGAAGCTCTTCATCCAAAAAGATTAACATCTTCAATGCCTTTTATATTAGTGACTTCGTATTTCTATTTTAAAGTTTTAATGAGCTTTCCAGTATAGCAATGGACTTCTAAAAGGTAAACTCATATCTCAAGCAGAGAAAATACATCACTAACCTCTTTTGCTGTCCTCCTTTTAGAATGCTAATTGCCTGGCTGCTATTGTCCTGATCCAAAGGCTTCAAACATTTCTCAGTCACTAACCTGGAAAACTGTGTATCCCATTTTATCCCATTTTACTTGATAAAAAAATCAAGTAAAATCCTCTATACAAGTCAATGTGAATACATGAGAAATGAAGCAGATGTGCATTTTGGACAAGCTACCCCTTAGGGGTATAAACTACCCCTTTTTTTCATCCACATTGGAATAATATGCCATCTGGTTTACTAGACTATAGTGTGTTCTGCCAGAAATGTTACATAAAGTGGTACTAAATTAAAAATGATGCAGTCTTTCACTAGCATTAATAAAGCACTTAGCTTTTATGAGTTCCCCCTGAAACTTAAAGCGGTACTCCACCCAAAAGGGGAAGTTCCGCTTTAATGCTTTGTTCCCTGCTCCCCATTAAGAATTGGCAGCTTTGGGGAGCAGGGGTGGAGAGGGTACCCAAATTTGACAGGTACCCGCTCTCACTTCCGTGATTGCCTAGGCAATAGGAAGCAGAACTTGTTCTCCCTCCTTCCCTCCCCGTAGTCTTCTGGGACACGTGACAGGTCCCAGAAGACTACTGGGCCATTTACAAAGCGCAGCACTTCTCGCACATGCACAGTGGGCACCAGGCTGTGAAGCTGCAAGCTGTCACAGCCAGGTGCTCACACTAAAGATGCTGGTGCCAGGGAGACAAGACAGCTGGTGAAACCAGTTGTGGTGAGGACATTGCTGGACCAAGGGACAGGTAAGTGTCTGTTTTTTAAAGTTAGCAGCTACAGTTTTTCTAGCTGCTGACATTTATTTTTTTTTTTCAGCTGGATCTCCGCGGTATACACTATGAGAATATCAGAAGAAAAATTCTGTACAAGGAATGATCCTTCGATTTCTGTTGTACAGTGTGTTCACAACTTTGGACATCCAATTCAGACTTGAAAACAAACATGATCATCTGGTTTTCCTTGATTTTTCACAGCAGGTCAAGGATGGTACTAATTGTCATAAAACAAAGGCTTTTTTTTTTCTTGTTGTTGATTGTTTCTGATCATTCGGAGCCTTTTGTATCTGATTTTTCTCATACGAAAACCATACAAAAACAGTACACATTAAATGAAAATTGTGAGTTCTGTTCACGAACTAGAAACATTTTGGAGCTGTTCCTTTTGGAAATTTTCATTTGGAAAAGGCTGAATAGGATGTCAAAAGTTGTGTATACACCATACGAAAATCAAATAATCATTCCTCGTACAGAATTTTTCTTCCGATTGTCACACAGTATGTACCCCACTAAAATGTTTCTTTTACATGAACAGAACTAGCGATTTCTGTTTAACGTGTACTGTTTTTGTGCAAGAAAAATCGGATATGAAAGACTGACCATGATTAGAAACAATAAAACAACAATAATCTATGCTACAACATTTCTACATCAAACAAAAAAAAGCCTTTGTCATTGGAGAATTTTTGTACAATTAGTACTGTCCTCAGGTTTGACTTGCTGTGAAACATCACTGAAAACTGGAAGACTCTTCGGCCAATTCTGTGAAAAATATTTTTCTCTAAACTTTCAAAACAATGACAATTGATTGTACAAAATATAATGAAAAGGTGTCAGTCTTTAAGTTTTAGTAACTGGATACTATATTCATAGATTATCCTGACTGATTCACAGCTCATGCAGGCACAGCCAATAAATTCATAAATTACAGGGTGTGCAGACTAGACCAGTGACTCCAAATAGCTTCGATTTCAATATACATGGTCATCTTTATAACCTCCAACTCAATACTTCTCAGTAAGTATTTGGTGAAATGGTTGGTTTTGTCTCCATAACATTTCTCAGACTGTTTCTATGGCTGAGTCTCCTTCTAGCACAGTGGTTCTCAACCTGTGGGTCGCGACCCCTTTGGGGGTCGAACGACCCTTTCACAGGGGTCACCTAAGACCATCGGAAAACACATATTTCCGATGTGTAAAGAGCAGCTACTGTGTAGAAAGCAGCTACTGTGTTGAAAGCAGCTACTCTGTTAAAAGCAGCTACTGTGTTGAAAGCAGCAGTATTGGAGCTAAAACGACACTTCATGAATTATAATTACTGGGTAAATAATTTTATGGTTGGGGGTCACCACAACATGAGGAACTGTATTAAAGGGTCGTGGCATTAGGAAGGTTGAGAACCACTGTTCTAGCAGTTCCAGGGAATTCCAACTCACCCATAGAAGTGAATAGTGCCATGGCACACATGCACACTATGAAGAGGAGCCTGTGGGAACTTTCAGATGAAAGGTTGTGCAGCACTAGGCAGTAAAGATTACTAGAACAGGGAGGAAGGGAGGGGGGTGAAGGAATGTAAAGAACTAGTTCAGTAAGTGTCCTTTAAATAGCAACAATGGGCATAGACTTCTTTCAAATATAACTTTTTCTCGTTTTATAAAAGTGGGGAGCAATTAGAGCTTTTGTAAGATTTTATTTGCTACCTGTATCTCCTTTGGGGAGATATAACCTCACTATATATAAGGATCACAGTGAATTCATTTGGTTTGCATGGCTGCTCTCCTTATCTGAGAAAAATGAAATATATACTTCATTTGGGTGTCTGACTCACTGTTAAGGAAATAAAATTCAAATTGATTCATATTCTTCCCATAGTGTGAGTTTATTGGTTTTATTCCATACGTAGAAAATGTAAAATAATTTAAATAAAATAATAGAGAAATGCATTAGAAAAAGTATAATTATATTTATAATAGTTCAGTCCACCCAATAGTGATATTTTAGTTATAAGTGAAGCCAGAATAATATGACATGCTGTAGTTTTACATAAAGAAAATTATATAATTGTATTCCTTTTGTTCCTTGTGAATAAAAAAATGACAAAAAAATAATACATCAAGTGTAATTATATACTGAGCAAAAACTACAAGTTTTTCTGTCTGTTCTAGCATTGTCGACCTAGAAGGGCTTTTTTTCTATTGGCAGGAATGAAGAAAGTGATTCTATAGCTTGCAACACAGTTTGAACCCTATGACAACATATCAGTAAATCAAAAGATATGTCAAATCAAAATAAATTTTAGTTATAGGTTGAGCTCAGTGGGCTTAATCAGTGTTTGGCTTTTTATAGTTCTTGGAAACTCCAACAGTGAGCTACTCCTGCCATAATTCCTGACTCTGCTACTGTCTTCATGGGAGTTTGGGGTGTTCCCATTACCTTTTTGTGCTTCAGCTCATCTTGTTATGTTCTCTACAGTATCAAACAGATTAAAAAATACCACAGCGAGAGTGGGATTCCCTTAAAAAGCCTCTGCGATTAAGCCCTGAAAAGGGGGAAATGCATCTGGGGAGCAGGGGTGGACTGACCATTTAGAAACTTGGGCAGTGCCCGAGGGCCCAGGGTCAGTAGGGGGCCCCATGAGATGCCCCTGGTACCTTTTTCATAGGCTTTTTTGAGTTTGGGCAAGGACACAGGGGCCCCATGATCCCCTATTGCCCAGGGGCCCCATGAGTTGTCAGTCCACCCCTGCTGGGGAGTTTCCTACAGGTAGAGAACAGGAGATGAAGCCATCTTCATCTCATTTTATTCACTTTCATGCAACAGGGAGCTGGTATCTGTGTGACAAGTTGATCCTGTCTTGAACCAGTCTATTCACATGCTGATCCGACTGATACAGGTTTGGGGGGCATTTGAGTAGTACGATTTTCAGTGTTTTGTGTTACACCCCTTTAAAATGGCCACAGCAGGTATGCAGACCTGAGAACTTAAGTGCAGATAATAGAATATCTGAAGGATATGAGAAATTTTCATGTGGTTTAACTCTTCAACATCTAACAAAACTAAGATAT